GTGGGCGCCCCTTCCTCCCAGAAGGCGGGTGGCCGGCTTCACTCCCCAATGTGCAAAACTGAAGGCAACCACCCTTCAACCTTCCCTCTGCCCCCGCCTCTCACCTCTCACCTCCGACCTCTGTCCATGCTGTTCCCTGAGCCCAGAACCCCTCTCCTGCTCTTCTCACCCTTCGGGGCCTGCAGCAAACCCCACCCCTGCCGTGACCACCTATGCTGCACGTTTCCACTGTGTTTCTTTCACTTATACTTAGCACTGTTCCTTTTCACTCGGGTCTAATGGTGGTGTTGACGTACCTGTTGGGACACCGGCTTGACTGCTAAAATACCTTAAACTCTTTTTTCTGTTGATGGAAACAATCCTACATACCTACTAGCCTAGATTTTACACACCAGGGGACAGAAATGGTGCCTCCCGGACCCTTGTCCCACCAGTGTGCCCAGCATGGGGCAGGCCCAGGAAGCTGGCTGGGTTGAGGTGTTGGGACTGGTTTTTCTTGCAGACAAAGACCTGCGGACCAAGGGCTTCAGCCTGGAGTCCTGCCGCAGCATGGTGAACCTCATGGACGTATCCTCCCTTTGCTTTTGCCTCCTGAGCCGGCCTTTGGGGTGGGATGTAGGCATGGGGAGAGCCCTGGGTGACCCATCCCAGGAGCAGCTCAGAGAAAGGGATAAGTGTGGACAGACCAGTTCCTTCCTGGCATCTTCCCATTGATCGGGGTGGGGTGGGGACCGAGGCACAGGCCTGTGTTGAGTGAGAGGCAGGCAGGGCCTCGTCTGCAGGTGACCCTGAGGCTGGTGCTCTGTTTGCACCCCTCCCAGCCACCCCGATTCAGGCCTGGCCCCAGGCAGCTGTCTGCGGGCTCCTGCCCCTTCTCCCCTCCCCCTCCTCGTCTTGCTCTCCCCGGTGCTCACTCACCCAGTGCCTGGTTTAAGCTGTGGAGTTTTCTTCTTAATGGCCGCCCAGCGTGACGGCAACGGGAAGCTGGGCCTGGTGGAATTCAACATCCTGTGGAACCGCATCCGGAATTACCTGGTAGGTGGCCCCTGCTGGCAGCACCCTCCCCTCCTCTGCAGCCTCAGTCACAGCGGGCGGCCGGGCTCCGGCTCCCAGACCAGCTGTGTGGACTAGGCCCTTGCCCTGGGTCTGCCTCTCTGAGCCCACGTATCCCAGTGGCTGACCCCCTTCGGGCCTCTCCCCTCCACCCTCGTCAGCCCTCCACCCTGGGCAGACGGGAAGGGCTGGATGCTCACCAAGCCCTCACCCTCTGCCCCCCACCCCCACCCCCACCACCCCCCAGTCAATTTTCCGGAAGTTTGACCTGGACAAGTCGGGCAGCATGAGTGCCTACGAGATGCGGATGGCCATCGAGTCTGCAGGTGAGGCCTGAGGGCTGGTGGCACTCGTGGAGCCCCAGGGAGATGGCCCTGGCTCGCTTCTCTGACAGCTACCCAGGGCGGTGGCCCACCCACTAGCCCTTGTCCCTGGGGGGGGTGATTGCAATGGTGGTGAAGCTGTAACAGCCATCTACTGCCTTTTTCTCCTGGTGACTGAGCCAAGCGCTTTATTAGCATTTCCTTTTGTTTTGACTGCAGCCTCATGAGGATAGGGTCTTTTAGTATCCCATTGAGCAGAGAAAAGTGCAGCTCAGAGAGGGGTAGTGACTGGCCTGAGGCCACACAGCCAGGGAGGAGTGGAGCTGGCCTCCAGAGCTTCCAAAGGGAGCAGTGCAGGGCTCATCCTCAGTCCCATGTCAGGATGAGGCCAGGGCATTCAGAACAAATGAAACTGGACCCTGGGCCCTGATGGCCAGCACCTGCTTCCCTGGGGCAGTCTGGGTCCTCAAGCTCCCTCTGGACCAGCACTTGCCCAGCTCGAGGCCCTGCCCAGGAGGTCTTCATGCCCCCAGCCCTGGGGCTCACCCTGCCCAGCCTCAGTCCCCCTCTCCGCCCCCTCTGGCCCGGCTGCACGTCCCTGGCCCTCACCTGCTCTCCTGTGCCAGGCTTCAAGCTCAACAAGAAGCTGTACGAGCTCATCATTACCCGCTACTCGGAACCCGACCTGGCTGTGGACTTCGATAACTTCGTGTGCTGCCTGGTGCGGCTGGAGACCATGTTCCGTGAGTGTCCCCGTCGGCTTCCCCCTCCAGCTCAGTCCCCAACAATGAGGGTCTCGGGGAGGTGGGGTCCAGGCAGGCTGAGTGCCAGGCGACACGGAGTTGGGTGGGAACTCTGGAGGGGCCTCTCGAGCAGCAGGAAGGACTGCTCCCCGGCTGTGAGGGTGAGAGCTTGCGGCGCTGTGGGGAGGTGGGGGTGAGGCAGGAGGTGGGGCCTGGTCCTGGCCCTGGCCCTGGCCCTGCCTGAAGGTCCCACTGAGTTCTCAGCCCCATGTCATCATTTCTTGAACACACAGGGTTTTTCAAGACTCTGGACACGGATCTGGATGGAGTCGTGACCTTTGACTTGTTTAAGGTGGGGCTGTCCTCCTGTCCGGTTGGGGAAGGTGCTCAGGGGCAGTGTTTTCTTACCCTCCTGGGCTGGAGGCTGCGGCCTCAGCGCCAGCCCTAAGGCCGGCCACCTGGGTCCTGCAAGGACACGCTTGGGTGTCTGGGTCCTGGGGAGGATGGGCCAGACCCCTGGAGGCCTGTACAGGAGCCAGCAGCCTGGGCTCCCAGGGGTCGAGGAGGTAAGGGAGTGCCCCGCCCCCTCCCCGGGAGGGTCCCTCTCCCACCTGCCCTCAGGGCGGTGAGGAGATGGCGACTCCTGAGCCATGGAGCTGGGAGGCCGGACTTGGGGTTTCTGCCCTGGCTGACCCCTCTCTCCACCCTCTCTCTGCCTGGCAGTGGTTACAGCTGACCATGTTCGCATGAGGGGCTCTTGCACGAGCCCCTTGCTGTGCTTCTCTGCCCTCCTCGTCTGCCGGGCCATGCCTTCCCGCCACACCACACCAGGCCCTGCCACACCAGGCCCCGCCAGCTGCAAGTGCCTTCCTTGGAGCAGGAGGCGGCCTCGTCCTCCTCGTCCTCACTTCCCGGCCGCCCCGGTTCATTTGCTCCGGGCAGAGCTGTGTGGCCCTCCCTGCCTCCACTGGCCACGGGCTCAGATGGGCTCCCCAAGCCCCTCTGGTTGCCAAACCGGGAAGGCAGCTTTTGCTAGTTCCTGCCTCACATGGGGCCCCAGGGGGAGCTGACGGCCCCAGGCCTCTGGACATCCTGATGTGTCCCCTCCCCTCCCTCCACAGGCCACCCATTCCACCCCCAAGCCCACCACGGCCCAGCTGCAGCCTTTATAACCACTAGCTCTGCACAGCCTGCCGTCTAGCGGTGCAGAGCGCGCTCCCAGCTGGGGCATCCTCCGCAGGGCTGGGAATGAATGCCTGTTCCTTCCTGTGCCAAAGCCAGTGCCCCCCTCTGCCCCACATTCCCCCCAGCCCTGTCCCCACTTGCCGACCAGGAGCGGCCTGGCCTGCGGGGTGGTCAGGCCTGCCCTCCCTCCCTCCCTCCTTTTTTATATTGGTGATTTTAAAGGGGCCTCTGTGGGGACTGACGTACCACCTATGGGGGTGCCAGAGGCACCTGGGCATGGGGTGGGGCAGTCTCATGTTTCCATGCAGAGAAACCCCGAATAATAAAGGAAACGGCCCCACCTTTGACTCCAGAGTGCGTTTCTGCCTAAACCTGCCGCCCAGGAGGGCTCAGCAAGCCTTGTCCTGCAGGGACTCTGCTCAGGGCCTCACACCCGCCCCTGCCCTGCCCTCCATCCCCTTCCCCATCACCCTGGAGGCTCGCACCTCTGCTGGAGTCCTGGGCATCTGGGAGGGGAGCGTGGGGTACCCCCTGCAGGGACAGGGCCATACTGCTGAGGTCCCACATGGCCCTGCTGGTCCTACATGCCCCGCTCCTCTAAGCCCTGACCCCTTCTTTCCCCACACACTCTGCCCGTGCAGCTCTGGCTCAAACCCAAACCCCTACTTAGCGCAAACCTGACCCCCAGGAAGCTCCCCAGAACACAGAGCCACTTTTTAAGTCTTCTCTCGAGGGTGGGGGAGGGGAGTTGCCCCTGTGACCCAGACACCTGCAGCTTATATAAGCTGCTCCAGCCCCTCTGGGATCCCAGCTCTTCTTACCAGAGATAAGACAAAGAGTAGGTTGAGGTGGGGGTAGAGGAGGGGCTGGGACAGCGTGGGGAGGGGTGAGCCGCAAACCAGGGCAGCGTCTGCAGAGCAAAGACTGAAGGAGCCCAGCTGGGGGGTGGGGGCTGCCCTCGGCCACCAGGAGCCCCAGGTGGAGCCCTGAGCGGCAGACTGTCGGGCACAGGGCCTGGAATCTGCCTTTTGCCTTTGGGAGTCCCTGGGCAAGTCCTGCTAGGCCTCCTCATCAGTGAGAGGGGTGGCCCGTCACTTCCCGGAATCCTGGGCTGGTTTGTGAGAGGGCCAGGCGGAGGGGCGGGGAGCCTGGTGCACCAGGCGCCACCCGCTTAGCTCTCTGTATTGGGTTTCCTTTGATGAGAGGTTGGAACACTGCGGGTCTGGATGAGCGGAGACCCTGCCACCTCCCACACCCCCAGCCTGAGAGTACCTGGGATGGGGGCAGGGAGAGTAGGGCTTCCTCTTGGTTGCCCTATTTGGGCATTTTTCAAGGACTTTTTTCCAAGTGTCTCCTATGCAGCCTCTGACTTCCAGGGAAGTGGGGGAGGGGCAAGCAGCTGTAATCACTGGTGCCCCCTGTGTGACCTCCAAGCGTTTAAGGCTCCGGCGCCAAGGGAGCCCAGGCACAGGGCTGGATCCCATGTGCTGAGGCTGGAATCCGGCGCCAAGGGAGCCCAGGCACAGGGCTGGATCCCATGTGCTGAGGCTGGAATTGCCGGCGTCAAGGGAGCCCAGGCACAGGGCTGGATCCCATGTGCTGAGGCTGGAATTGCACGTATTTTTTTTTTTTTTTTTTTGGCTGCATCCCTCGGCTTGTGGGATCCTAGTTCCCCGAGCAAGGATCGAACCCGCGTCCCCCGCATTGGAGGCGCAGAGTCTCAACCTCTAGACTGCCAGGGAAGTCCCCTGGAATTGGGCTCTTGAAGGTGCCTCAGAGTGGCCTCCAGAGAAAAGGGGAGGGTGACGATGGTGCCACATTTACTGCTGGGGTCCCCCCTGCGAGGGCCATGGGCAGGGGGCTGAGCCTGGAGATCTGGGCAGTGGGATATGAGGCGGCCCTCTAGGACCCCTCGCTTTTCTAACTCGGAGGTGAGAGGCTGGGAGAAATGAGGAGAAAGGGCCTGGCAGGAGGGGGAGGCCTGCAGACCTGGGGACACCCAAGGCCTCCTGTGAGGTGTAACCCGACCCCTCTGAGTTGTGGGACGCGGGCATCTGAGGTCCTAACCCTGGCCTGTTCCTCCACCTCTCAGGGCCCCGTCCCAGCCCCTTCACATAAGGCTCCGAGGCTGGGCCTCAGGTCAGGCCCGTGGCCATGGCCTTCACAGACCCGCTGGACACCCTGGGTGGCGTGGGTGGCTTCCAGCTGGTCTACACGGCCCTGCTGCTGCCCTGCAGCCTGCTGGCCGTCCACAACTGAACTTCATGGCCGCCATGCCCCGCCACTACTGCCAAAGGCCCGCCAACCACACTGCGGCCACTGTCAATGGCTCGGGGGCCTGGCTGAGGGCCACCGTACCCCTGGACCTGCTTGGGGCCCCCCAAGCCATGCTGGCACTTCATGCAGCCTCAGTGGGCCCTCCTGGGCCACAACACCTCCATCCACAGGGCGGCCACCAAGGGCCGCAAGGACGACTCAGTCTAGGACCACAGTGTTTTCCCGCCCACCATGGTGATGGAGGTCGGGGTGGGGGAGGGGCCGTGGGGGGCCGTGGGGCTGCTGCCTGAGGCCGAGGCTAGAGCGTCCCTCCCTTCCCCGCGGTGGGATCTGGTGTGTGAGGCCCGCGCCCTCTGAGACCTGGCTCAGTCCGTCTCCATGACCGGGGTGCTGGTGGGCGCCACGGGTCCCAGCCTCCCGCGCCTCTTCATTAACTTTTCTTTATTAAAGTTTGTGTATTTTAAAATAGATAATACATACAATACATTCACAAGCTTCAAAATTCCTGACGGTACAAGCGGGTATGCAAGGAAGCGTTCTCCCCTCTGCCCCACACTCCAGTAATTTCTACAGGGCAGCCTGGTTTCCATGTATCTTACAGAGATTTTTTATGATTTTATACAATCTAGGTGAACATGTACATGTGCTCCATCCCCCTTTTCTATACAAATGCTGACACACCCATGCATGGTTTTGTATCTGGCTTTTAACCTCATTCGTGGCCTCTGCGTATTCCTTCAGAAAAAGCTCTCCTGTCCTCCCTGTGTCCGGGCTGCATCCCACTGTGCAGATGAGCCACAGCTGACCAAAAGAGCCCCTGAGGGGGGCTTCCCAGGTGGCGCAGTGGTTGAGAGTCCGCCTGCCGATGCAGGGGACACGGGTTCGTGCCCCGGTCCGGGAAGATCCCACATGCCGTGGAGCGGCTTGGCCCGTGAGCCATGGCCGCTGAGCCTGAGCGTCCGGAGCCTGTGCTCCGCAAAGTGAGAGGCCCGCGTACCAAAAAAAAAAAAAAAGAGGTATATTCCTTTTTAAAAAAAAAAAATTTTATTTATTTGGTTGTGCCAGGGCTTAGTTGCGGCACGCGGGCTCCTCAGCTGTGGCATGCAAACTCTTAGTTACGGCATGCATGCAGGATCTAGTTCCCTGACCAGGGATCGAACCCAGGCCCTCTGAGTTTTAACCAGGGAAGTCCCTTGGGAGGCTTTAAAAGGAAGGGAGTCAGTGTTCATTCAGGAGACGTCAAGGCAGGGAAACATTATGGATAACTTTATTGTATTTTCAGTGACGTGACAAAGTTTCTTCAATGATGGATTTCCTTCCCCAAATGCTGGTCTCCACACCGGACTGGAAGCCCCGATAGGGCTGTGTGCCCAGAACATAGTAGAACGTTTACATGGCAGCGTGCAGGAGCAAATTAAAGAACAAATGAACTCGTGAAGGTAAGGAAGACAGGGGCATCTACACTTGAGAGAAGAAAGAAGGGGGAAGAAGACAGAGCAACACCAGACAGAGTGGGGAGGAGAGAGGTGAAGGAGCCATGTCAGGGAAGCTGAGACAAGAGGAACCAACCAGAAGGGAGTGACCAGTGGAGGACAAGCGTGGGCGAGAAGACAGTCCATGCAGTGACCATGATGTCCAGGTGGGGTCAGGAGACCAGTGAAGCAGAACTGGTCCCTCCAAGGTCAGATTATCTACTCTCAAGCTTAACAACTCCAGACCAAAGGAAGCCCACATCACACTGCCTCCCCTGCGGTGTTAAGGGCCATGAGATGTTTCACCTGAGTTTGTTCAGCATCATATTGGGGGCCTTGCCTCTCATGTCCACCTGGGAGGAGCTGGAGTGGTGAAATCAGACCTGCATTCTCCCTTGACGCCCCCCGGCCTGCCTAGGGCCAACAAGAATTACTGTCACCTTTTCTAGAAGTCTCTTCTCTTTTGCTCCATCTCCACTGACTCACACACCTGGGGATGGCTGGGAGGGATGGTAGGAGTTTCTCAGTAAGTGGTTTGGGGGCAGATACTGGGCCCTGCTAGGAGAGAACCCACTGCCACATTCTATTTTTCCACTTCTCCTCCCTCTAGGTTCCTGGGTCTGTGTCAGCATGTCCTGCGGAGAAGCAGGACCTGGGGCCCAGAAGCACTTACAGAAGTGCTACTGCTGGACAAAGAACTTCTTTTCTGAAAGACGTTGACATCTCTTTCAAATATATTCATGTGTATTTCCTCCAAGGATGTTCTCCTGTATGACCACACTATAACCACCACAGTCAGAAAGTTAGAGTTGCTATATGACTACCATTTCACCCTCAGACCTCATTCAAGTTTCCCTAGTCCTCCCCAACAATGTCCTATAAAGCAAGAGGATCGGGTTCAGAATCGCAAATGGCATTTAGCTGTTGCTTCTCTTTCAGGAGTAGGTCCTTTGCTCTTTGACTTTCGTGACTCTAGCAGTTACACAGGGTTTTATAATTGGAAGAACTAATAAGACTCCACAAAGCACACTTATTTAAGGCTTTCATGAGACTAAGGACAGGGGCTTCCCTGATGGTCCAGTGGTTAAGACTCTGCTCTCCCAATGTGGGGGGCTTGGGTTCAATCCCTGCTTGGGGAGCTAGGATCCCACATGCCGTGCGGTGCAGCCAAAAAAAAAAAAAAAAAAAGACAGAGGATACAATACAGCAGGAGGAAGAAAATACAGGCGAACATCAGGAAGGGCCAGGGCACCCAGGTGCACCTCCCAGGGTCCTCGCAGCCCCCAGGGTGTCATTCATCCCTGCATCACAAGCCATTGGATGGATGTGAGCTATCTCTATCTCAGGGAGGCCAAGTACAAGTTTGCTGAGGAGTTTTTTCTATCCCTCTGGTCATAGCCCAAATCAGGCTGTGTAACCTGGTAAACCAGGAGCAGACCATGAACCTACAATTTTCAATAAACAATGCAGACAAGCTGGTAGAAGCTGCTCCAAGAGGAGGTTCAGACTTGACCAGCACATTTATAAATTACTGGCTGGTACATGGGCTTCTTCAGTGACCTGTCCAGGGTTCTTCTTGACAGTCCTTGTCCAAGCAAACATGAGATGGAAACAACTGGACTTGTTTTAGTTTGTGGGGAAACGGTGACATTGGGGAAGGGGAGGCGAGAGACAGCCTCTCTCACGAGATAGTCAAGTGGAGTTTCAGACTTCTGGACAATAAGAATTCAGAACTCCTCAGCTCATCTCATTTTTCTCAATTTCTTTTTTTTTTTTTGCGGTACGCGGGCCTCTCACTGTTGTGGCCTCTCCCGTTGCGGAGCACGGGTTCCGGACGCGCAGGCTCAGCGGCCATGGCTCACGGGCCCAGCCACTCCATGGCATGTGGGATCTTCCCAGACTGGGGCACGAACCCGTGTCCCCTGCATCGGCAGGCGGACTCTCAACCACTGCGCCACCAGGGAAGCCCTCAATTTCTAATCTCATCAAATAATTATGAGTGCTGGTCATAGGCTCGGGATGTTAAAGATTAAGATGAAAAGAAAATGCCTGTTTCTAGGGTTCAAGTTACTCATCCCCAAGATCTTTCATTAATCACGAGACCAGATACTGTTTTCAGAATGGTCTGAATGCCTGGTGTAGTCTGGGGGTCAGCCACGGTGACCCAGTTGGGTTTATGCCCGAGTTTGTTGGAGCAGCGTAGCAAAGGAGCACCTGACTAACCCCGTTCAAAAAAAATCCTTTTATGTAAGAATAGAACATTCACAAAGGAGACAATACCAATAGGAAGTAAACAGAGGAAAAGATTCCACATCAGTCATAATCAGAGAAATGCAGTTAAAACCAGGAGATGCCCTGTTTCAAATATTTAAGGAAACATTTTCAAACATAGTAATGTCAATGCATAGTCAATGCAGGAGATGTACGGGTAGCAAGGAGGAAACTCCTGCAACCTTTCTGGAAGTTTCTTTGGCATTATAGATCATGCGTTGGAAAAATTTTCACATTCTTCTAAGCAGCAATGACATTTCCCGGACTCTGCCCTAAAAAAATAAGCTGAAATACGGACAAAGTTTATTTACAAGGATATTCATCATCCTGCTTAATGTACCAGAAAAAAATGTGAACTCTCCAAATATCGAACAATTTAAATAAATTATGATACATTGTGCGTTAGCTAAAAGCCATGTTGATGAAGAGTTTTTAATGGCAAGGGGAATGTTTACAGTATGCTGTTAAACAGTGTATTATAATTACTTATGATATTTTCCTAATTATGCCAAGAAATAGAGACTCGGTAGAGAGAAAACAATATATTAAAATGGTGACAGTGGTTGACTCAAAGTATAGGTGATATTTTATTTTTTTCCTGGCTGCTTTATATTTAAAAATTTTTTCTCCAAATTATCTACATTGAGCAGGTTTTCTCTGGTAATCAAGGGAATGAGGCACACAATGAAAAAAATTATAGGAATTCAATTAGGCCGTTTCTCAGAGGCAGGGCAGCCCCTCTTGAGGCTTGGAGTGAGGGAAGGATCTGTGCGATGCTGAAGTTCCCCAAAGCCTGTGAAGTGGGAAGACCCAGAAGGCAGCCAAGGCTCCAATCAGTGACCTCCCATGGAGCTCGTCCCACTGGTAGGGGGCATGGAGAGGTGAGGGGCAGTGGGATAGGTTTTCAGCCTTTCAGCAGAGGTCTGGTTCTCCACCAAGGACAAAGACCAGCTCAGCTGGGGCTACAGTGGTAGGAAGGAATAACCTGTTTTGTAGCCCACAGGCTCTCCTGTGTGCATGTCTGACCCTAGACCAAGTTGTGCATCACTGATGCCAAGAAGTCATTCTAAAAAGTCCTCACGGCAACAGTCCCTGTTTCCAGCATTGTGCAAAAGAACTGGGATCAGCACACCCCCCTCCCTAATCTCATGGTAATGTGTTGGCTGCCCAAAGGAAAGAAATAGGGGCAAAATAGAATTCAAAAATTATTTTGTGAATGATTCTTGCTTTACAGATTTGTAGAAAGATAGCTACTAGCTGACATTTTTGAGCTGCTGGATGAGTTTAATACTGAAAAATGCAAAGGTCAAATGAAAGTAAGCTACAGCATGTTCTGACAAAGTATGTAGAACAGAATTCGGACATAAAGAATTGTTCACTCGGGTTGTGTAGTTGTTAAAAACTGAACTCTAAAGAATTATCAAGACTAGAAAAGCAGGGACTTCCCTGGTTGCTCAGTGGTTAAGGCTCCGCTCTCCCAATTCAGGGGACCCGGGTTCGATCCCTGGTCAGGGAACTAGATCCCACATGCATGCCGCAACTAAGAGTTCACATGCCACAACTAAGGAGCCCACGTGCTGCAACTAAGGAGCCAGTGAGCCACAATTAAGGAGGCTGCCTGCTGCAACTAAGACCTGGTACACCAAATAAAAATAAATAAATATTTTTTTAAAAAGACTAGAAAAGCAGTATCTGGGTCTGCTTGAGGAAAACCTACACTATTGTTTTGAAATATTGATGTGAAAAAATTTGATCAAAGTAAAAACCCATTAACAATATCCTAAGAAATCTCAACATTGCAGGGTTTTTGTTTGTTTGTTTGTTTTTTTGTGGCATGCGGGACTCTCACTGTTGTGGCCTCTCCCGTTGCGGAGCACAGGCTCCGGACGCGCAGGCTCAGCGGCCATGGCTCACGGGCCCAGCCGCTCCGCGGCATGTGGGATCTTCCCGGACCGGGGCACGAACCCGTGTCCCCTGCATCGGCAGGCGGACTCTCAAGCACTGCGCCACCAGGGAAGCCCAACACTGCAGTTCTTAATGACAGAAGATGCAGAACTATTGGATTTAAAAGATAATCTCACCATAGAAAACAATTTAAACTGATAGAATTATCTACATTCTGATTAATGGCAAATTAATGATTATCAATTAATGGATAAGAATATCCATCAAGGAAAAAAGATGATAATCTTCTGTTACTTGCTACTAGCTACCTGTACAAATGCAATTTTGCATTGATGGTGACTGTCAAGAATTTGAAGAATTCTTGAATTCAAAAGAATCATCATGAAAAACAAGAACTGCACACAGCCATCTTGAGCATAAAACCTGATATAAAAAGTTATGTTCTGAAGCAAACTCAACTTTCCTATTAAAATATTTTAAAAGATTTTAGAGACAAGTATAATACAAATTCAAATGTCTTTCCTAATACATTGCATCATTTTTTATTATTTTAGTAAAAAAGTGAATACTAAGACAATGTAATGTTTTCTCCGTGCTCCATGGAAATAGCCCAAATCTCCCTCAATCCCTCAATTCCCCCAGTGGGATGAACAAATATATTTTCTACTAATTCCATAAAAAGAAAAAGTTGGGGATGCACTGGAACAAACACAGAGGTATAGAGATAGCCTGTTCCTCCCTCTTCTTTTAAATGATTTTTACCACTCTTTTAAAAAAATTTATTTATTTTTAATTTTTATTTTTGGCTGCGTTGGGTCTTCGTTGCTGTGCGCGGACTTTCTCTGGTTGCAGTGAGCGGGGGTACTCTTCATTGCGGTGTGTGGGCTTCTCATTGCAGTGGCTTCTCTTGTTGTGGAGCGCGGGCTTCAGTAGTTATGGCACGTGGGCTCAGTAGTTGTGGCACGCGAGCTCTAGAGCACAAGGCTCAGTAGTTGTGGTGCACGGGCTTGGTTGCTCCACAGCATGTGGGATCTTCCCAGGCCAGGGCTCGAACCCGTGTCCTCTACATTGGCAGGCGGGTTCTTAACCACTGTGCCATCAGGGAAGCCCTTACCACTGTTTTTTGAAGTTACATGACATCATGGGAAGTCTCAAAAACAGAGTGAAATAATCGACCATGATCTCTACCCGACTCCACCCACCCCCATATTAGTTATCTATTGCTGCATAACAAATCATTCCAAAACTTGGTGACTTAAAAATACTAATAAATATTTATTATTTCCGATGGTTTCTGTGGTCAGGAATTCAAGAAGGACTCAGCTGGGTGGTTCTAACTCAGAAACTTTCATGAGGTTGCAGTCCTCTAAAGGCTTGACTGGCGTTGGAGGTTCCACTTCCAAGGTAGTTCACCCACATAGCTGGCAAGTTGGAGATGGCTTTTGGCAGGAGGCCTCAGTTCCTCTCCACACAGGCCTCTCCACAGGGCTGCTGAAGTGTCCTTACAAAATGGCGACTGGCTCCCTCTAGAAGGAATGATTCAGAGTTCAAGGTAGAACCCAGAATGCATCTTATGACCTTAGCCTCGGAAAGCACACGCTTCTGCCACATTCTATCGATCACACAAGTTAGTCCTGAGTCACGTCAAACGAATCGACATGTGGTCTTGGGTACCAGGAGTTGAAGATCTCTGGGAGACATTTTGGAGGCCAGCTGCCACACTCCCCTCAACACTCCGACTGTGGCTATGTCAGGGTATTTCCTTCCCAGACTTCACCTGACCTTAAAGCCTTCATAGAGTGACAATCATATCATTCAGACATTTTTATCTATACCCACCCCCAGATTCACATGCTGTAAAAACTCAAACATGAGAGGAAAATGTTTGAAAAAAAAAGGTGAAAGTTTCTTCCCCATACTCTGTCCATTCCCCACTCTCTCTTCACAGTTAGAAGTAAATTCTTTCAGAATGTTTTTTCTTACACGATCTTGGGCAAGTCAATTGACTGCTCCGATTCTCAGTCTCCTCATCTGTAAACTGAGGGAAAATAAGGTCTACCCAACAAAACTATCTTAAGGGTTAAATGACATTATATATGCAAATCACTGTACCTGATACCTATGAAGTGCTCAGTTTATACCTCTCCTGGCTAAAAGTCACATGGCCAGTAAGTGACAGAGTTGTAATTTGAACCCAGGTCTGTATTTCCATAAAACCATTCTTTTCTCATTATTCCAGGTACCCATATGTCCCAGTGCTATCACTAAGTGTGTAAATTTGAGCAAGGCATTTAACCTCTCTAAGCTTAGCTTACTTCATCTGTAAAATGGGGACAATAACACCGTATGCAGGGAAACCAGTCTAGTGAGAAAGTAATTCAGCTCTGAGGGTGTACGACAGGGGTGCACAGGTATGACCAGAGCAAGGGGCACTTGTCTACTAAAATCCTTCCAGTCTTAAGCAACAGAAACTGACTCTGGCTAAACTGAGTCCCAGAGGAGGTTTTTCTGGACAGCTGTTGGGTGAATTCACGGGGTGGAAGAAAAGGCAAAAGGATCCGTGCAGCTCCAGGCCTGCTCAGCAGGAGCGCTCCAGCCTTTTCTCTAGGGACCTATGGTAGATGGTGCAGCTCCGAGCATCTTCTGCCACTGATTCTTCACTTAACATTTTCAAATCCCTGGAAGGAATTTGACTTGCTTTGCTTGGTTCCATTGCATTCAAACTCATGGATCAGAAAGCCTCAGCCATGGGACTTCCCTGGTGGTCCAGTGGTTAAGACTTCGTGCTCTTGCTGCAGCGGTTGTGGGCTCCCCTGATCGGGGAACTCGGGGAACTAAGATCTCGCGTGCTGCGCTGCGCAGCCAAAAAAAAGGGGGTATGGCATGGTCACAGGAGAACTGCGGGCCTGACAGCCCCATCCCACCCCAGCTTGCCTCTGATCCTGCCTGACGCGTTACAAGGAATTTCCTGCGGGAAATGAATGAGAGACCTGAACCTTTAGAAGTTGGCATCACCTTGGTGGGGAATGGGGGGGAGATTCCCAGGAAGAGGAAATGGCATAGGCAAAGCCAGAGAAGTAAGAGAGACTGTGAAGCATATTGGGAGATGCAAGATGGAACCCTGTGGCTGGATGACTGCAGAGCGAAGGTAACTAAACACCCCACTTCCAGGCGGGAAACTCATTCCTTAGAGTTCAAAAGAGGCTGACTCCACGGCCAGCCTGACCAATCAGAATATGCCATTTCCTCAGCACCAGGGATTGGTGCAGGGAGGCCATGTGACCCAAGGAGGGCCAATCAGATTCACTCTATGAAATCCTGACTGGGGTTGGGAGGAAGAGAATCCTCTGGGTCCTGACTCAAGACGTCTTCAGGAAGAGACCAATGTCCTGGATGCTCTGGAGGCAAACTGCCTGGTTCAAGTCTTACCAGCTCCCTTACTAACTGTGAGAACTTGGGGGAGCTAATTAGACTCTCTCCTCCGTGAAATGAGATTAATAGGCCTTGCCTACACCCTAATAAGACAGTTAAATGAGAAAATAGACACAGAACAGGTAGAGCAGTGCCAAGTACACACAGAAAGCCAGTGTGAGAATGAAACCAACAGAGAAAAAAGCAAGCCAAGAGCATAAACTAGTATGAGTCACGTTTCTGTCATGTCCCATGCATAGGTCCTGACTAAAACACTGGAGCATCGACTGGGATTGAAAAAAAGTGGGAAATGAGAGATGAGAGGGCAGATCATTTTTGCCGTGCTAAACAACCGGCTTTTTCTCCAGATGGCAGTGGCAAGTCAGAGAAGGATGTGAAGAAAAATATGAAGAAATACTAAGAAGGAAATAAACTAGGACTCTCCTGAACAAAAAGACCCCTGTTGACATTTTAAAAGCAGAAGTCGTACATGTACAAATTAGAAAGTATAAACGGCACAGAAAGGCACAAGATGAAAAAAAGATATCCCCTGTCCGTCTCTCTCCCCAGAGGTAAGTACCGTTCATAGTTCTTTATGATTTTTCAGTCAAGAGTTTTAAATAAGTGATGAGCGCAGATTTGCATTTTAGGAAAAACCTCTCTGGCAGCAGTGGGGAGGGACACGTGTGTCAGGGTTAGAAGCAAAGGCAGCAAGAGAAGGGGATGAATCGATGGCTCACACTCCTCCATCACCCACCTCTATCCTAGCTAATGCCTTCTCACCCTTCAGGCCCCAGGTAGGTATCACTCCCTCCAGGAGGTACTCCACTCCCCCCACCCCCGGCCAGAAGCCCCCTCCAGATTAGGACACATGCTATTAGAATAGAACCACAGCACATTTCATCATCACATTTGTCCTTCTTGTTCAATGTCTTCCTTTTCTGTTAGACTGTAAACTCTGTGAGGGCAAGGACCATGACTGCTTTGTTCTCCCCAGAGCCAAGGGTGGTACTACACACAAAACAGTCACTCAATAAATATTTATTAAATGAATGATTCATGATTGTTTTGGGAAGCCCTGATAATGCAGAAAAATCTAGAGAAGAAAATAGAAATCACCTGTGGTCTCATGACCCACAGATCATGACTGTTAACATTTTGTACACATCCTTCCAGGCATCATTTGTATCCAGGTGTCATTAGAAGGACCCTGACAGCTATGACAAGAGAGCCAGGCAAAAGACAGGAAAGATGCTCAGAATCTCACTGGGTGTAATTTCCACATCTGTAAGGGTTGTGATCCTGCCAGGTGGGAAGGATGGGAAGGGAGGTCAGAATGAACACAAGCAGCGAATGGATTAGATGGACCAATTAATAGTAGACAGTATTGACATGTACAATAGAAACTTAAGTTTTATCATGTCTATAAATTAAGTTTGTTAGAGTTATAGAATTACTTAAGAACTTGTTAAGATCCTACTAGTTAGGCAATTAAGTGCTTACATTTATAAAATATTTAAACTGTAAATTTCATTAACTAAATTAACAATTATATAAGTTATATAAGGCTTGTAAATTGAACCTAAAAGCTAAAGGACATATCAAAATGAAAAACTTTTGTGCATCAAAGGACACTATCAACAGAGTAAAGACAACCTACAGGATGGGAGAAAGTATTTGCAAATCACATATCTGATAAGGGATTAAAGAGAACTCCTAAAACTCAACTACAACAAGAAACAAACAACCCAATTCAAAAACAGGCAAAGTGGACTTCCCTGGTAGCGCAGTGGTTAAGAATCCGCCTGCCAAAGCAGGGGACACGGGTTCGAGCCTTGGTCCAGGAGGATCCCACATGCCACGGAGCAACTAAGCCCATGCGCCACAACTACTGAGCCTGTGCTCTAGAGCCCGCGAGCCACAACTACTGAAGCCCGTGCACCTAGAGCCTGTGCTCTGCAACAAGAGAAGCCACCGCAATGAGAACCCCACGCACAGCAACAACGAGTAGCCCCCACTCAGCACAACTAGAGAAAGCCCACGCACAGCAACAAAGACCCAGTGCAGCCAAAAATATAAATAAATAAATTTAAAAAAAAAAAACAGGCAAAGTACTTGAATAGACATTTCTCCAAGGATGTACAAATAGCTGATAAGCACATGGAAAGATGTTCAGCATCACTAAATGCTATGGACCGAATGTTTGTGTCCTCCCCAAAGTTCATATGTTGAAAACCTACCCCTCAATGTGATGTTATTTGAAGGTAGGGCCTCTGGGAGGTAATTAGATTAGTTCATGAAGGCAGGGACCTTATGAAGGGATTAAAGCCCTAATAGAAAGAGGAAGGACCACAAGATTCATCTCTCTCTACCATGTGAGGATACAGTAAGAAGGCCATCACTTGCAAACCAGGAAGAAGATTCTCACCAGACACCAGTTCGGCACCTTGATCTTGAACTTCCCAGCCTTCAGAACTGTAAGAAATAAATGTTTGTTTTTTAAGCCACCCAACTTATGGTGTTCTGTTATAGTAGACCGAACTGACTAAGGCACTCATCGTTAGGGAAATACAAGTCAAAACCACAATGAGATACCACTTCACACAAATAACAAGGGTTGTCAAGGATGTGAAGAAGTTTGAACCCTGTGCACTGCTGGTGGGAATGTAAAATGGTGCAGCCACCATGGAAAACAGTATGGCAGTTCCTCAAAAAATTAAAAATAGAATTACCATATCAGCCAGCCATTTCACTTCTAGGTATACACCCAAAAGAATTAAAAGCAGGGATAAGAAGATGTATGTGTACACCAAGTGTCATAGCAGCATTATTCACAATAGCTAAAGCATGGAAGCAACCCAAGTGTCCATCAATGGATGAAGAGATAAACAAAATGTGGTACGTACATACAATGGAATATTATTTCGTCTTAAAAAGGAAAGAAATTCTGACCCATGCTACAACATGAATGAATCTTTAGGACGTTATGCTAAATGAAATAAGCCAGTTGCAAAAGGACAAATATTGTATGATTCTAGCTATAGGAAGTACATAGACTAGTCAGACTCACAGAGGCGGAAAGTAGAGTGGTGGTTGCCAGGGGCTGGAGGGGAGGGAGGAATGGGCAGTCATTGCTTAATGGGTACAGAGTTTCAGTTTTGCAAGATGAAAACAGTTCTATGGATGGATGGTTATGTTGGTGGCACAACAATATGAATGTACTTATGCCACTGAATTGTACACTTAAAAATGTTTAAAGTGGTCAATTTTATGTTATGTGTATTTTATCACAATTTTAAAAGTAAATAATGAAAAATTAAACAGGGAAGTTCCCTGGCGGTCCCGTGGTTAGGACTCGGCACTTTCATGGCTGGGGCCTGGGTTCATTTCCTGGTTGGGGAACTAAGATCCCACAAGCCGCCAAAAAAAACCCCCAAAACAAACAACAAAACAAAACAAAAAAGCTAAAGGACAAACTAGATTTTTTTAATTGGTAGCTTTATGTGGTGGTTTTTAATAACAGCTTTACTGATGTATAATTCACCTATCATAAAGCTTACTTTTTTAAGGTTCATAATTCTGTGGTTTTTAGTGTATTCACAGAGTCGTGCAACCATCACCACTGTCTAATTTTATGATATTTTCATCACCTCCAAAAAGAGACTCGGTACCCGTTAGGAGTCATTCCCCATTTCTCCCTTCTCCTAATACCTGGCAATCAATTATCTACTTTCTGTTTCTATAGATTTGCCTATTTTGAGTATTTCATATAGATGGAATCATATAAAATCTGGTCTGTTGTGTCTGGTTTCTTTCACTTTGTATAATGCTTTCAAGGGTTATCCTCGTTGTAGCACGTATCAGTGTCATTCCTTTTTATGCCCAAAAAATAGTCCTTTGCGTGGATAAACCGCACTTTGTTTAGCCATGCATCAATTAACTGTCATTTGAGTTGTCTCCACTTTGAGGATATTGTGAATAGTGTGGCTCCGAACATTCGTGTACAAGTATTTGTTCGAATACCTGTTTTCAATTCTTTCGGTTATATACCCAGGGGAGGAATTCCTGGGTCATCAGGTAACTCTGAGCAAGTGCACAGTGGCTGCAACGTTTTCCATTCCCACCAGCAAAGCACTGTATGAGAGTTCCAGTTTCTTCACATCCTTGCCAATACTTGTTATTTTCCATTTTTTAAACTATGGTCATCCTCGTGGGTGTACAGTGGTATCTCACTGCAGTTTTGATCTGCACGTCCTTAATGACTGATCTGTTGGGCATCTGTTGCAAGCCTTTGACTGATTTTGATTAATTTTCAGAGCTCTGGAAAAGTTGATTTTAACATCTTTTGCCAGTGTTCATATGGTTTTATGCAGGAGAAGATTTTGCAGATCCTTACTCCGCCGTGAGGGCCACTGTCCCTGCTGACTCTTCGTGGATGACACTGATGACATTGCCCTCGTCATCATGATGCAAGGTGGTTTCTGTTATACAACAGGGTCTAACAGCACAGTGGGAAAGGGACTGAGTCAATTTAGATCCCATCAGCTCATAGATTCTATAACTTTTACATCTTAGTTCATGTTCCATAGCCTGTCTCCTTGTCAGTACAAGCTTCTGGAAGCAGGAGCTGTGGGTTGCTTTGCAGCCTTCCCTCTGGTTCCCAGCACTGTTCTTTGTCTGCTTAAAACATTTAATATAACCACTTTGGGACATTATTTCGGTCTTTACAAATATTTTTAAGTTGTCTGGGGTTACGATGTTCTGAATCTAGACTCCAGATTTAGTCTGCATTGTCCAATGTGATTGCTATAGGGTCCCTGTGGCTACTGAGATTGAAATTAATTAAAATTAAATAAAATTTAAAACGTAGTTCCTTGGTTTCACTAGCCACATTCCAAGTGCACAGTAGCTACATGTGGCTAGTGGCTACTGTATCAAGCGGCACAGAGCTAGAAATTTCCACCATGACCCTGCTCTAGATACTTCCTCTCCAGCTGTCTCAGAGCACAGGATCATCACTGTTGGGAAGTTGAAGGGGCACTGGGCATAGATTCTCCTTCATTTGCAAGGAGGCAGCTCTTTTAATGAGTCCTGATTACTTTTTTTAAAATTTATTTATTTTATTTTATTTTAATTTTTGGTTGTGTTGGGTCTTTGTTGCTGCGCGCAAGCTTTCTCTAGTTTCGGGGAGCGGGGGCTACTCTTCATTGCGGTGCGTGGGCTTCTCATTGCAGTGGCTTCTCTTGTTGTGGAGCACGGGCTCTAGGCATGCAGGCTTCAGTAGCTGTGGCTCGTGGGCTCTAGAGTGCAGGCTCAGTAGTTGTGGTGCACGGGCTTAGTTGCTCCAAGGTATGTGGGATTGTCCCAGACCAGGGATCGAACCCCTGTCCCCTGAATTGGCAGGCAGACACTGCGCCACCAGGGAAGTCCCCTGATTACTTTTAATGATAAGGTAATGGATAAAGGATATGATTTTCCTGGGTGATTTCCAACTACTAGACAAAGTTTCCAGAGAGGATGACTGTGCAAAATACAAAAAAACAAAACAAAACCAACCTTAAATAATGCTACCATTGTTATCTCTTCAGGGCAGCCTTTCATCAGCTCCCGGCATCAGGACCACTTCTCTCTTTATCAAGCACTCACCCAAGGTCAGCCGTCATATAATCCTAGCCACAACCCAGCCTTACCTGGAGAGAGAACCCAGCCAGGTCTCCTGGTTCCCCAGCCGGGGCTGCTCCCAGAGCACCCCTCTCCTCTCACAGACCAGCCTCCCATCTCCGAAAGACTTAGTGAGGATTATAAAATAGACCCATCAAGCCGAGATGAAGCAGCTGAGACGCCCAAGTCAGGAGAAGGGCAGCCAGCCCACGTGGTCCTGGCCCAGTGCTGGCTTCAAGCAAAGGAAGGCTCTGGCATTAGCAAGAATGACTGTGAACACAGCTGACTTCATGGGTGTGCAACCTTGCAGTTGCTCGGGACCCCACGCCCAGAAGGGTCCCACATTTGGGTTAATGCTCTGCTGCCGCCATCTTGAAATTCTCAATCATTTCTAACGAGGAGCCCTGAATTTTCACTTTGCACTGAGCCTTGCAAATTATGTGGCTGGTCCTGACCTTTTCCATGGAAGGCGTTAATCTTCGAGCAAGAGACAGGCCAGGCAGGGAGATGGGGGGAGTGAAGAGCTGGGCAGCAGCCATGGAGAGCCAAGCAGGGGTCAGCAAGCTGCAGAGCCACCTCAGGGGCCCCTGGGGTCCAGGCATTTAAGGGGTAAATGCTTGCTTGTTGCAGAAACATAACTATTCAGAGAAATTCTTTTTCTTTTCTTCTTTTTTTTTTGGCCACATGCGCGGCTTGTGGGATCTTAGTTCCCCGACCAGTGATCGAACCCGCGTCCCCTGCAGTGGAAGCACAGAGTCCTAACCACTGGACCACCAGGGAATTCCTCTTCAGAGAAATTGTAATGACACATAACAAAGGTTTCCATGTTGTAACTTTGTTTTACCGTGATGTTGACCGTTTATTCTCTTCCCAAACTTTTGCCTGGTTTCATGTTCAGGTAAAAGCTAAGAAGTGTTTGAAAGGAAATTCAACCAACAAACTTGTAAAGATAATTTTTCATTCAATATGCCAAACAAGACACTACTATTTAACAGCAAGCCATACTACATGCAATACATTTTTGATGGTTTAAAAAGCAACAAAGTGACTTTAGAACATAAAGGAATACTTAAATATTACTCACAGAAGAAGAAATAGCTAAATGTCCTCTTGTATCTGAAAAAGACTCAAAACGTTCTAGACTTTTTTTTCTTTTGGCCCGATTAGGAAAGGAGAAATAACTAATAAACTATGTAAATACATTAGTTAAAAGAAAACAAGATAAAGAAACAGGAAATAAATCAACTATACTTCAATTTTTTAAAAAAAGATAGAACTTTTCTTTTATGCCCACACACAAAAAAGGAAGAGACGGGAAGGAACAGAATGTCAGAGCCAGCCTGCTAAGTCTGGTGAGGAAGCTCATTGCAACTACTAACACAAACCGAAAGTCTGCTGTTTACTAAAGTAGGAGGATGTGTAACAACTGTAGCTTTAATTCCATATAAACGGAGCTAAAAATGCACTACAGCTTGTGGTCACTTGCTAGCTACACGCAGGCAGGTATTTCGGTATTTGTTTTTCTTTGTTCACTAATAAAAAATCAGCTAATTCTAAAAAACAAAACAAAACAGGAAAAAAAACTTGCCTTCTTGATAGCTCCATCTTCCCAGCTTGTCTTCCTGAAAGCTTATACTGTGCCCACAACCAGCCAGAAGAACATTTGGACTCATTAAACTTGCCCACCCCTCCAGCCCAAGAAGCTGAAGTGCTTGGGACAACAGGTCTCCTCTGGCTGGACCTCGGGGTGAAACACCTTAGAAGGGGAACAGCATTCCTCCTCAGCTGCTGTCCCCACCCACTCGCCAGCCTTGAGGGAGAGGGGCCGGGGAGGAACAGCTCTTCTTTGATAAATGGGGGGGCGGGGGGGAGGCCAGAGGACCACAGGGGAGAAAGGAGTCGCCTCGGGTTTCCCTTCAGTGAGTGCTTCCTAAAGGGAGAAGCACAGTTCGTCTTGTACGCTCACATGATCCTTGGAGACACAACTCATCTCCCACAATGTCACCTGTAAGGACAAGATAAACAGCCCAACCTGGGGCCCAGCTCAGGCCGACCCCGGTTCTAGTTCACGTCACGTCCTGAGGATCGTGCCCCTCAAGAGCAGGGCTGGGACAGTGAGGGGAACAAAGATTGACGGCATTTCCATATTTTCCCTTTTATACACAACACTCCCCAAATAAACAAGTTGCCTTTTCTTCCTAAATTCTTACAGTACAGAGCGCTTGATTCAATTAAAACATGTGAGGGTATAGGGCTTCCCTGGCGGCGCAGTGGTTGAGAGTCCGCCTGCCGATGCAGGGGACACGGGTTGGTGCCCCGGTCCGGGAGGATCCCACATGCCGCGGAGCGGCTAAGCCCGTGAGCCATGGCCGCTGGGCCTGCGCGTCCGGAGCTTGTACTCCGCAATGGGAGAGGCCACAACAGTGAGAGGCCCGCGTACTGCAAAAAAAAAAAAAAAAACGTGAGGGGACTTCCCTGGTGGTCCAGAGGTTAAGACTCTGTGCTCCCAATGCAGGGGGCCCGGGTTTGATCCCTGGTCAGGGAACTAGATCTCGCATGCTGTAACAAAGATCCTGCACACGTGGCAACGAAGATCCCGCATGCCACACTAAAGACCTGATGCAGCCAAATAAATACATTAATTCATTTAAAAAAAATTAAAAAGTAAAACATGTGAGTGGACTGACCACAACTGACCATAAATACAGGGCCACCTAGTCCATACACCACACCTGAGTGAACTTGGAAAAGGTACCCCACCTCCAGGAAGATGCAGCATCCTGGGCACCCAGCTTGGTGGGTTAATGGTGCCCACCCCACCCCCAGGGAGATCCAGCTTCACAGCAGAATGCACAGCTTGGCCAGTAAAACATAGGCTCAATTTCGGCAGCCTGTCCTCACCCATCTGGCCGGGCCTCCTTGCTCAGTGAACAGCCTGCACAACTGCACTCAGAGGTTCTGCTTAATCACTAAACATTAAGCTGTTCTACAATAGGAGGAAAGCAGTTTGCCTGGCCCAGTTCCTATCGTGTACAGTTTACTGATAATCCTTAAAGCCTCACAGCAATAGCTACTTTCATTTTTCGTTTTAAAGAGGAGGCTGTTAAGAGAGTCTCAGGAAATGTTCTGGTTATGTAAAAGAAAGTGAACCAAATGAGACAAAACTCAGAAAGATATTTGGGCAAAGGTGCAACAGAGGGATAGATGACTTGGTCTCTAGAGTCAGCTGGAGGTGAGTTCAGATTATGGCTACATGACCTCGATAAGTCATTTAGCCTCAGTTTCGCCATCTGGAAAATGGAGATAATAATGTGCACCTCATCAGACTATTCTGAAGATTAAAGGAGGTAACATTCATTTATTCATTCATTCATTCATTCAACTGATACTTACTAGCACTTGTTACATGCCAGGCACTGAAACATAACTGTGAATATATATATAGGGCCCCTACCATCTAGAATGGGGTCAGAAATAGTATAAAGTTTCCATTAAGATGAGTTATGAGAGAGTATGATGAAGGGTAATTGGCCTGGTCAGGTGGGTCAAGGAGAGTTTCTTGTTGGTCTGTGATCTAGAGAAAGAGTGGGAGCTACCAGGCAATGAGAGACCCAAGTAGAGGGAAGGGCATGTGCAAGGGTCCTGTGGCAGGAGGAAGCTTGGCTCATTCATGGAAGCTAGACCCTGGGGCTGGAGCACAGGAATCAAGGGGAAGAGTAATATCAGAGGCGGCTGGAGGGAGGTAGCTGGGGCCAGACCGGGCAGAGGCTTCAGGCCTCAATGAGGATGTGGTTCTTCATCCTATAAGCAATGGGAACTGAAAGGTTGGTCTTACATTAGATGGGGCAAGAGGCGAGAGGTGGCCGGTGTGACAGGATTACATTGCTTTTTGAAAAGATTGCTCTGGCTGCGGAGTAGAAAATAGATTGGAAGGGAGCCAGAGTGGTGTGGGGACCAATTGGTAGGTCACTCCAGCCATCCCGGTGAGATAGGATGGTAGCCTGGACTAGCGTGGTGGTGATGGAAGGAGGAAGGCGGTTTCATTGGGAAGAGAAGAGTGAAACAAGCATATCTTGGAAATACTGCAGGTTCAGGTTCAAACCACCCCAATGAAGTGAATATTACAATAAAGCGAGTCACATGAAGTTTTTGGTTTTCCAGTGCATATAAAAAGTTTGTTTATACTGTAGTCTATTAAATGTGCAATAGCATATGTCTAAAACAGGTACATGCCTTAATCCTAAAATATTTTATTGCTAACAAAATGCTATCATCTGAGCTTTCAGCAAGTCGTAGTAGTAACATCAAAGGTCACTGATCACAGATCCCCATAAAAAATATGACTGGGGCTTCCCTGGTGGTGCAGCGGTTAGGAATCCACCTGCCAGTGCAGGGGACACGGGTTTGATCCCTGGTCCGGAAGATCCCACATGCCGCGGAGCAACTAAGCCCATGTGCCACAACTATTGAAGCCGGCACGCCTAGAGCCCGTGCTCCACAACAAGAGAAGCCACCGCATTGAGAAGCCCGCGCACCACAACTAAGCGTAGCCCCCGCTCACTGCAACTAGAAAAAGCTCGTGCACAGCAATGAAGACCCAACGCAGCCAAAAATAATTTTTTTTAAAAAATGACAATAATGAAAAAGTTTGAAGTATTATGAGAATTAAAATGTGACACGGAGACATAAAGTGACCAAATGCCGTGAAAAAAATAGTGCCGATAGACTTGCTTGTTGAAGGGTTGCCACAAAACTTCAATTTAAGTGGAGTAAAATGAGGTATGCCTACAAACAGATTAGGTGATGTGGCGGGAGGGGATGAGAGCTTTGTCGTGGGGACTCCTAGACTTCTGATGTGTGGGCCTAGGTGGACACTAGTGTCACTTGCTGGGACAGACAATGCTATAAGAGGACCAGGTTGTACGTGAAACCCTAATTTAGTTTTGGGAATACTGAATTTAAGATGCTTCCTCTCTAAAAGAGGCACCAACAAAGTAGTTGTGCCTGTACCTCTGCCTCAGAGGAAATGTCTGGGCTAGAGATAAAAATCCATGTTGGGAGTTCCCTGGTGGCCTAGTGGTTAGGATTCCATGCTTCCACTGCCGTGGCCCAGGTTCAATCCCTGGTTGGGGAACTGAGATCCCAGAAGATGTGCGGCACGGCCAAAAAAGAAAAGAAAAATCCATGAGTCATCGTGTAGAGGTGGCGCCTGGGGTGAAACTGCCTCAACACCACTTGGATCATTTGTAAACTTAAAAAAATTATATACCTTCTTGTGTATGCTTGTTCTGTAATCAAATCACTGAATTAATATTTTAAACTTTTTATTCCTAAAGATTTTATACAATATAAGAATTCATCCAGCCAAGAAGGATATGAGTTCAAGGGAAGCTCCCATGCAGAGAAATCTCAGAAAACCTATGGTAGTTATCTATTGCCATGAAACAAATTCATCTAAAATTCAGCAGCTTAAAGCAACAAACATACTATCTCACAGTTTCTATGGGTCAGGAGCTGGGGGGAGCTGAGCTGGGTTCTTCTGCCTCAGGGTCCCTCATGAGGTTGCAGACAGAATGTTGGCTGGGGCGGCATCATCTGAAATCTGGACGGGGCTGGAGGATCCGCTTCCAAGGTGCTCATTCATGGCTGTGGGCAGGAGGCTTCAGTCTTTGCTGTGTACATCTATCCCTAGGACTGCTTGGGTGTCCTCATGACATGGCAGCTGGTTCCCCCGGAGCAAGTGAACGGAGAGAGGCTGGCTTTTATGTCCTCGTTCCAGATGTCACACACGGGCTCTTCCACCACATTCAGTCCACTAAAAACAAGTCACTAGGTCCAGGCCACACACAAGGGGAGGGGGATGAGGCTTCACATTTTAAAGGTAGAAGTATCAACGAATTTGTGGACATATTTTAAACCTCTAAACTGAAATTACACAGTCAAATTCTTTGACTGACAAGAATCAACTCCTTCCTCTGGGTTTCTCCATGGCCTTCCACATTCAGAGGGAGTGGCTGTCGTACCCATATCCACTGATTTCCTTGGCTCTTCAGTAACCACCGGTAATTAAGCCCAGGGCTTTCATTTTGTCCTTCTGAGAACACAGAAGGTGAGTTGTGAGCTGGGAACTGACGCTGATGCAGCCCTGACTGTCTACACTGGTTCTTCACAGCTCCTTCATACTTCAGATTCTGGTCCTCAGCTTTGCATGAAACAACAAACATGCATCACATATTTGTTGGGATGGAAACAACATAAAACATGTATCACATCCTCAGAGATAACCAGGATCTGGAGAAGTGGTCCCCACTAAACTCACTTTTGAGAGACTACTTTATAAATACTTAGAATAATTCATACACCAGAACACCTCTGTGCTTGTGGCCTCCCAGGAATCTTATAGGCCTTATGAATGCAGGTCCACCTAGGGCCATACGGAGCCACTCTGGGCATCTCCGAGAGGACCTGGTCAGCCACCAGGGATATTGCATCCAAACACCCAGCCTGCTGGGCTCTTCCTTCAGGAAACAGGACAAAGGAGTAGAGATGGATGCCCTTGGAGAAGCAACGATGTCCATGCCCAGCTTCCTCCAGCCACACCAAGGACCCCAAGACACAAGCTCAGCCTTGCCTGGTTCTGAACCAATCTGGACCAAGGCAAGCATGGGAATCCTGGTATCCAAGGTGCCAGCTTGGGCAACTTCTGGGCACCAGAGCTGCATGAGTTAGAGTACACAGAAAGCCACAATAATAGTGGCCTTAAAATTGTATTATTATTATGATCACTATTTTGGCTACGCCGGGAAGCTTGTGGGATCTTAGCTCCCCAACGAG